ACAACATTTGATGACAGTGAATTATGATAGTTATAAGTAAGTTATTATGTAAGAACACCTTGTTTAATTAGTGACACTCCTTGTTAGGTATTTTGAGTTCTGTTCTATGTAGTTAGTTTGCTTAATTAGCTTAAGAATTGATTTTCCTATAAGTTTGTTTTGAGTATCAATTATCTCACGTTTTGTTATAGATAGGTGATTTTCTGGCTTGGTAAAGAGTAGGTTTATTGGGTTAGTTTAAGAATGGATTATCTCATGTTTTGTTATAGGTAGGTGATCTACTGGTTTTGTAGGTAGTAGGTTTATTGGGTTAGTTTAAGAATGGATTATCTGATGTTTTGTTATAGATAGGTGATCTTCTGGTTTTGTAGGTTGTAGGTTTATTTGGTTAGTTTAAGAATGGATTATCTAATGTTTTGTTATAGATAGGTGATCTTCTGGTTTTGTAGGTAGTAGATTTATTGGTTTAGTTTAAGAATGGATTATCTGATGTTTTGGTAGGATGGGTTATCTGGTTTTGTAGGTTGTAAGTTTATTTGGTTAGTTTAAGAATGGATTATCTAATGTTTTGGTAGGATGAGTGATCTGGTTTTGTAGGTTGTAGGTTTATTTGGTTAGTTTAAGAATGGATTATCTGATGTTTTGGTAGGATGAGTGATCTGGTTTTGTAGGTTGTAGGGCTGTTTGAGAATGAATTGTCTGATAGTTTTGCATATATAATTATGTCTAGACTACTTCACAAAGTTAATTTAGTCAATACTCAGGAAGTTAGACAAAATATGTTAGTCAAAATTTCATATTAGGTTACCGTACATTTGTGTTGTTGGTTTTTGATATTGTTTGCTTGTACATATATTGTAAGTATTACATCTGTATGTAGAAGCTTAACTTACTTCATTGCTACCTTTTTTTTTTTCTGCAAGCTTTGCAAAGGAAGCCCAGTGCAAAGAACAGTTCAGGAAAAGCCACTCTTTCTGTCTCAGGTAGTTAACTGTTTGCTTTGGCTGAATTCTTTCCTGCCAATAACTAAACAATCATAGCTTTCTTTTACAAATGTTTGTGTAATATCTCACTGCTTAATAGTTACCGAGTACAATTAATCATAAGTGTAGCAATAACAAAATAACCTTTATTGATGTATACTCAGTATATATGGAATTTAGAAATAAAAGTATTTCTGCTTCTGTGACTTTCTGCTGTTTCCTTGTTTAAGTAAACTCTGCATGATTTGCCTTTAGAACTTCAAGTGCACTAGAAACTATAACAGATCATTGGTTGCTGTAGAAGAATATTCATGATGTTTATTTTCCACACATTTCCTGTATCTTCAGTACTATTTTTGTAATATATTCATGATGTCAAAAAAACATGTAGGTTCAAGATGTCTTAATATAAAAACCTTATAACCTGAATGCTTTTGAAAGGTGGACCTTTCTTCTTCAGGGGCATTCCTACCTTTTGAAAGCACTCTGGTTATAGGGTTTGTATCTATTTTTTTTTTTTTATACAGTTATAATATTTGTGTATAGTATTATTTTCTTGTTTTTTGTTTGTGTTACTCGACATTATCAGGATTATTATGAAATGTTTATGGAATAATAAATAACTTATCTCGGCTGTTTCTTGTTTAAAAAAAATCAAACTGTTTAATATTTTTATTGTTCAAAATAATGGTTATTATTTTGTCAAGGAACACTGGGTATTTTAGAATCAAACAAATTTGTTTAGCTTTAGAAACAACTGATCCCATACTTTTGAAAATATTTTTCTTAATCAAAGGAAAATTTATTTTAATCAGTGGCAGCTGGAGCAGCTGATGAGGAAATGTTCATGAGAGCTTTTGATGATGTGCCAAGAGTTCAAGTAAGTGACAGTACATGCAGAGAGACTGTGGGAAACTTTTAGTATACCTGTTGAAGAATGACATTTTAAATGTAACTACATAACCTGTTTCAACAAAATTGAATTTTTTAGGTATTTGGAGTAATAGATGTGCAATAACAAAAGAGATCAGAGGTGTAAAATTCAAGTGAAATTTTTTAAAGTTAAAATGAAAATTCATAATCTTTTCTTTGAGTCTTCAGATTGAAAATAAGTATATATGTGTTCATAATTATATAGAACATGGTCTGTGGTCTACATCTGAATTCATGCTAATATGAAAACACAATGTATTGAGATTAAATTTTGTGATTATTTTGTTATTTGCATTATATTTTAATAGCAATTACCTATTATACATCTGATGGGAAATTTACTAAATTGATGTATACTGTGCACCTGAGAGATTTTAAACCCTAAAAATATCACTTTGATTTGGTATCTCTGAGCCTTTTAGTTATTGTAAATTTTATTATTGAGTGCACCTAAAATTGACATTGGAATGCTTATGTACTTATATGATAGGATAGAAGAACATGGCTATCTGTTGACACACTTATAAATTCATGTAACCAATCCTCTTCCAAATCCTATGATTTTAATAGTTCAACTCTTTATATAATATAGTTGGTTTGGTTTGTTTGAACAGTTTAAATTTGTGATTCATTGATATTATCTTGAATATGATCTGAACCTTTTAGATGCATGTGTTAATGTTAGTTTCAACTGGATTAGTGTAGTTGTAGATTATTGATCACTCCTTAGAAAACTGTAATAGTGAAATAGTGAGCAAATGAAAATACATTCTGGATATTTAATAATAAACTTCAGTTTGTGTGGAAAAAAAGTTAAGAATAATAAAATACAATTTATTTTATTTTTCTTTATCTGTAGTTGTATTCAGGACGAGAATTGGAGAACGAACTTGGAAAAATCAAAGAGACTTTGTCTGATCCCAACAATGACTGGGGTAAACGAGTTGAAGCTGTGAGTATTAGATTATTTGTGTTTTCTCTTTTTCCATCACATAGGCAGTGCATGGCCCAGTGGTTTAGGTACTAGACTATGAGTCCATTGTTCGCTTCTTGTTACCCCCAAAAAAAAACAAATAACTCCTCACTGTGGGAATGTGTGTGCATTATAAGACTAATGATCAAGTTCCAGCATGTGGCCAGACAAAAGAAGTCCAAGAGTAGGCTGTTGATTAACTGTTTTTCCCCTAGTCTGTAATTTCAAAATTAGGGACAGCTAGCACATAGTTCTTGAGTATCTTTGTGCAAATATTCAAAAACAAGATCTTACAATTATTGAATCTTACAGCTGAAGATTAAAATTAGGGACAGCTAGCACATAGTTCTTGAGTATCTTTGTGCAAATATTCAAAAACAAGATCTTACAATTATTGAATCTTACAGCTGAAGATTATTTAGTTTTTATTGTGAATTGATGTTTTTAAATTTCATGTGTCTATTTAGAAATATTAATTTGAAGATGCTTAGGTTAAAGTAACCGTTTAATATGTTAAGAGAGAAAAAAAATTCCTTTTTTAAAAAAAGCATATTTATTCAATCTCCCTACGTGGTTTTGAATGTCACAAATTTCAGATGAAAAGACTTCGTAGCCTTATTATTGCTGGTGCAATTGAATATGAAGAGCTGTTTCCCAGTCTTCGACAGTTAGAGGTGGCTTTTCAGTCATCACTGAAAGACTTGCGTTCACAAGTTGTTCGGGAAGCATGCATCACAATAGCGTAAGTATTTAGTTATATTTCTATATATGTTTCAACTTGTAGAATAGTGATTAACTAGTTGGTAAAATTGTCAAATTAAATTTTTAGGGTAAAAAATTAAAATTATTGACAGTTTATCAATACCATGCCTAACATCATGAACATGTTACTATAAAGCTTTGTTAAACCACCATTACTTTGTACCAGTCCTCTGGTTGTGTATTTACAGTTGTGTAATAAATATTTTAATATATAATTATATTGCTCTGTAATGAAGAAGTGCATGTATTTCTTTTGTTTTTGTTGTTCAAAAGTTCATCAACAACTTTTTAATTGCTCAGTCTACTTAACCTTTATGCATCAATAATGGCTCAGCTTTTAAACCAGTGTTTTTACCCTCTGGGCTTTTAAATGAAATATAGAAAATATTTCTCATACTCCATAACACAGATTCTTTTGTATCATGCCATCTTACAATACAGGAATGATTATATATATATATGAGAAGGAAATTGCATTACGTTTTCAGGTTAAGTCATGTCTCATAAAGTTTGTTTTTGGTCAAGTGTTCTCCACATTTTTTCTTCTTCTTTTTTATAAGAATATTTACTGAATATGTTTTGAAAAGTAGAACTTCCATCAACTAGAAGATCTAATTTACAGGTCACATGACCTACTAACAAGTTATAAATACTTTATCATTGTCTCGTAATTCATTCCTGAGGATGACATTGCAACATCGAAACATGTAGTCATCAACTTTTTGAAGGCCATACAGGGCTAAATAAAATGTTTTAATTGTGTACCAATTTTAACATTGAATATTATTTATGATTTTATCTAAAGTTCAGTTTAAATTATAACTGTTACACATATTTTGTGAAAAATTGAAAGTGTGACTAAATTTTGGATAATTTTACTAACAGCTTAACACCTGTTTGAAAAAAAACAACTTCAATACTTTAATCAAAAATCATAAAAACCACACTCCTAACAAAAGTTAAAAATAAACAAAAATGATTTCTATCCCAGAGGGTGAAATTAAATCAAAAAATTGCTGTGTCCAGCAAATTTTAGTAAATTGGTTATGAAAATTATAAAATTAGTATTGTTAATAAGAATTACAATAAATAACACGAGTAGAATCATGAGCTAGTTATTGTATGATTGCAAGGTCTAAATTCTGAGGTAGCTGACCTGTGGGTGACAACATTCTATCTGCTTCATTTGACCTTAGGAACTTATTTTTACAATATGATCTGAGTGTTTAGGATAGCTTTTGTATTTAAAAAAAAGGTCACAGCATGATGAATAATGGGTATCATTAAAATTCCTTTCTCTTCAGGCAAGATATTGGGCTCCAAAAGCTGTGGTGACCCCATACTCGTGTACTATCCTCACTATTAATCACTAATAGCTGCAGAAACTACTCCTTCAGATTATCTTCATTTTGTTTTTATATCTTTCACAAATTGCTACTTGTTAGATTCAGAAAATTCAACTTTGATTCATCAGACTAAATTACTCTTCCATTCTTCTACTGCTCAAGCTCTGTGCTTTGGGACAGATGTAACATTTTTGATTTTGTTACAATGCCACTGAAAATGTTTTGTTTTTTTATCCTGAGATCCATCCTTTTATTCCTGTTTGATTGAGATGACAACAAACAATAGATAATTAGTTTCTTGCTGAGATGTTGGATTTCTTTTCATTCCTTAGTGATGTGTTAAGGTACAGCAAATCAGATTTATTGAGTTATTTAGGTATCAACTTCTTGGTTTGTCATCAGTAGAGGCAATGTTTTAACTCTCTCCATACAGACTGACAACAGGACCATTTTTACTTGTATATAGTTTTAATACTATAACTTTTAATACAGTATGTGTGTATCTTCACCAAATTTGGCAGACTTTTAATACACATTACAAGTACTTCAGTTTTTTAATGAAGTATTTTTACTAAAAATTTGTTCGTGAATATATTAAGTATTTGTTTTGAATAGTATGTGTGCAAAGTGATTTTCATGTTAAAATTTAAAAAACTTTTTTCATTTCAAAAATCTCAGATTTGATTTGTGTATTCTCTAAAACCTCTTATTAAATACATTTCAAATGTTTGTTTTCACAAAAAGTTTATATTTTATCTGTTATTTTCTCTACCCTAACTCTACACAACATTTATCAATTTGACCCGACCGTGTAACCACCAAAAAAAAATTGAAATAAAACTAAATTACTCTTTTTTTTTTTCTTTGTAGAATGACTTCAAATTGTAACATGAAACTATATTTGTTTATCCAAAGTAGCTTTAAGCTTGTAACAGTAAACGTCTATTTATAATTAAATTTTATTGTTTTATTGCCCTTTGAATTGTGTCTAACTACTATTCGCACCATTATAGGGTGTAAATCACTTTGGTAATGTGGAGGTCATGTTACATTATATGTGTGAAATATTATTATGTTATTGTTATTATTATTTATTTTTACCTAATCTAACCTTAACTAACCTTAAGATTTCCCTATTTTTAAATTTAGTTACTTTTATCATAATAAGTAAAGAATAAACATGAAATAAAGTACTTACTTGAATCTTCTTTTTTCTTGCTGTCGATTGTCGATGATACTTAACCCTACTTTTTTTATACTAATTAGTAATAATGCACTAAATAGTTTTCATTACAATGCACCAAAGAACATAGGCTAATAACAAACAAAAAATAGACAACTTTCTCTAACCCTTACAGTTTTTTTCTGGCTTCCTAACTATGCAACAAGAGCCATTATAAGTTCATCCAAGCTAGTCATTATCTTTCCCATGGGAACAAAACTTGTACTAACAGTGAAATTGACAATTCTCTGTTCAGAAAACAACATTATACAATATGTCATTTGATAGATGAAAACTTTGGCTTTCTATTGGTTATAATATGTAGATACAACATAAGAGAGAACAATTTAACAAATCCTAGAAAGAGAGAATGTAGACAGGTGGTGTGGCAGGTC